TATTTCACTTTAAAGTATATAAATACCTGTTAATGTAATGTAATTTTAAATAAATCTGTATGCCTAATATCTGTGTGACCTATGCTAATTTTTAGTTAAGTATTTATATACTTTAAGGTAAAATATTAAAGTAAAGTGTATTATATTCCCTGTACAATTCAATAGCTTAAGAAAGTATTAAGAAAGAATCGTCGCATTTATAAGAGAAACAAATTAAAAAAAAAACTCATTAACGACTACTACTTTCTAAAATATTCTTCAATCGCAGTAATTGCGCCTTTTTCCCTTTACATATAAATTCCTATGCAATATTAATGTTTAATTTTATTCCAAAAATGATTTCTTTTTTTCTTTCCTCCTTCCCTTCATATCCCAAATGCGAATTTCTGGTATGCAATTAGCTTAATTAAAACGAGTTATTATTAAAACTTTAGACTTTGTTTCGAACTAATAATTATCCTTTTATTTTTCATTAAAAGATAAGAATAGAAAAAAAACTATAATTAATCGAATTGTAGATTTCGTCACACTAAATTTTTATATTTTATATTATGTATATATATATTGTGTACTCGTGTGTCTGCACATCAATCTGTCTCTTCGAACTCGTCTCTTCTCTTATAAATGTTTAATTAATTTAATGGTTAAAGTTACTATTTAATGTGTCTTAAAACGTTTTANTAAACTTTGATTTAAATTCAGACAATAAAAATTCCTTAGCATTAGAACTTAAACTATTCAGTGAATCTATTTTATGGAGCAACTAATGGATAAAACAATGAGATATTTCTGCGTCCTAAATTGTTTGTGACCTTTTTTTTACCGAACACCGCCCAAAATTTTTAATTTAAAATCTACAAACAAAAGTTTAAAAAAATAATGCTGTTAAGCTGTTAGGTACGGTACATTCCGGTACAGATATATTAAAATTATGAGTAATAGACTATATAAATATGCTCCTTTTGTGTAGCATATTCATATGGATGTAAACAGGATTTGTTCTGAAAGGCATATTTTATTATTATATTATTTATTTCTAAGGGAGATAATCTTTTAGTTAAATGTACACTACATTATTTTTACATGTATATGTTTTTATACTCATATATTTATAAATTATTTCTGTAAATATCTTATTTGCATATTTTTCAAACTAAAAATTAAGTATACTAATAACATGATACACACATATGCTTGTATCTTCTAAATTATAATTATAAATGTGTTTGTTTATTTATAATTCTAATCCATAAACATTCTGTAAGTATATATAAATACTGTAACACCATCACATATATATATATATATATAGCCTATATATCTAGAACAGACTACATAATAATTATATATTAAGCATTTCTACAATATTTTGGAGGAAAAATTATTACAAAGAAAGACAGATGGTTTATGAATAAAAGGCAGATGTCTTTTTAGAAGGACAAATAAATTTAATGAACGTATAGTAGACTGTGTTACTGAATTTACTAAGGAAAATTTAATAAATATAGGACTTATAATTTTTCAGGTGTTTTTTGCAATGTACTAGCACCTGTAGGCTATACAGCTGGCTTCAAGTTTTACATATTATAGACGGGCCTAAATCGAAATGAGATCAACCAGCATAGATGAAGGATAAGAAACAATTATCCGATCCAAACTAACTATAATATATAATGAGTCAGTTTGAATTCCAATTCGGATCCTTCACGGTGATAAGAGTATATTGCATCTATTCTATCGAAACTTTATTTAAATTATAATACCTTAATAAACTTAATTGACATATAATATACTAAATTTTATTAAATTCCGAGAGGCATTTACAAGTTTCGAATTACAAATATTCATTATAATTCTAAACTTTCTAACACCAGTTTCAACACAAGTAAAATCGTTCAATAACAACTAAATGGCGATACGAATCGACGATTCTTTCCAATTGGTAAAATATGCGTACACACTTGAATTTCAATAAGATTCACATTAAGATGTTTTGCTTCTCCTCTTTGTGCTAATTTCTTTTTCCTTTTCCATACATACAATGTGTGGAATGCATCGGACCGGTTTCTCACCCGCAACCTGGTAAGAGGACCTCCCGGCATCACTCTATACACCTACATAACAGGTGAACAACCGTACCTCCGTATGGGTACTTTTTTTCGGGAAATTGAAGGTATCCGGTTAGTATACAAGAATACCAAGTTTCCCCCTTCTTCTACTATTATCCTACGTAACTACCCACATCCAGCCAAACGGGCGAAATTTTCTTCGATTATTTTCTTTTAAATTTCCCTAATCGATTATTTTTCTCGTAGATATTACACCGAAATCGACGGAAAATATCGCTTACGACAAACTATTAATGAGAAAACAACTGCAAACAATTGTTATTTACAGAGCAGAAAATTCTGCAAATAGTTTGAATCGCGCTATAACAATGGACATTCAGTAGGCTGACCCGAAGCAGAGAGAGGCCTTCGTTCGAGAGTCGATGGCCTGGTGTGTCTACTACGCACGCGCAAAAGTATAACGACCGTCGATGCGACCTTGAGGACACCGCCATCGTTTTCACTTTCCTTTAAGATGGACTCCTCGATGTAGAGTTAGCGATTTCCCGCTTAAATTTTAAACCTTGGGTTTCTTTTTCGTAATAATTCTTTACTTTATAAGAATTAAAAAGTTTTTATCTTAGAAATGACATTGATTTCTATCTTAAGAAATAGTAAAAAGTTTCATTAATAAATTCCTGAGTGAAATTTTTATATATTAATTCGACTTGTATACAAATTTAATCCTTAATTCCTTAATATTATCGTAGGTATTAATTGAGAACTGTAAGTAAATATTCTATGATTATTTTTTTCTCTATTTTTCCAAAAAAATGTAGCATTTATAAAGCATTTATAAAGCACGTCTTCACTATTAGCGTGAATTCCATAAATGGTAAAATGTAGGTTTAATGTTTGCATAGTCACTTATGAATTTCCATTTATATATCAGCTGTCATATCTGAGTCATACGAAATGATTTCTATGCACCGCCAAAACTTTGCCATAACTCCAGACGATTTATTTTTAACCGACAGTATAACGAAAAAAAGAAAAAGAAACAATAATATAAAGAATTGGGGTGTTGTCTTGTACACTAACAGGCGGGAAAACGTTTCATCATTCTATTGGTCAACCAGTAACAGGATGTAGACAATAGGGAGGGAAATCTGCGTAAGTCAGAAACGATTAAGGTAGTGAAACTAAGGAGGAGAAACAGTAGAGAAAAAAAGACATTTGCTAGGTTTATTCACCTTTAAGGATAAATTAAATGTGTAGGAGTCGCGGGCGATGTTTCCATTGTTTATACATAAGCATTAAACTGTTGTACTGTACATTTTCGATTTTTAAAGAAATTTAACAATTTCGTTTTCACAATTTTTTTTTCCTGTAAATTTGTCAATTTTTAACGTTTATTCTACCTACAGTTAAAATGGTGTTTACATTTAACACACCTTTGAATGAGTCAGACCTGTTTTATCATTGAAAGCGCACAAATATCTCCCTTCTTCCTGCCTGTTCTTCATCTCCGCCATCTTGTAAGCAATATGAAGTAGAGGGAAATATTTTAAAATTATATTTTTTTGTCAGTTGAGTAGGTAACTATATTGAGATATTTTTAAGTTCGCATTTTGTATTATTTTCACCAAAAACCATCGAACTTAGAAGTATTGAACTGTATCAACCTATTGATAGATCGTCCATGCAAAAAGTATACGGAGATTGAACTGAACTTCCTATTAGAGTTGTATCTTGCATATTTAATATAGGATTGTAATAATAAGTTCGGAGTAATTTTCATACTGTTTTTCTTTTCGTTAATTATATTTTTGTATCAATTTATAAATAATATTATTTATGATCCGGTACGCAAAATAAATAAATAAATAAATAAATAAAAACTTGTTGTAACAAGACATGGAAGATTTATAAGTAGGAAAAATTTTAATTTATTTCTTTTTGATATTCTGTTTATATTATTCCTCTATACCCCTTCCAGTTTTAAAAACATTTTTATGATCTCTACTTTCAGTTTACAGAATTTTATTTCGCTGTAAAATAAAAATTTATATCCAATTTATAAAATTTTAGTTAGTCGTCCATCAAATAATTTATATCTCTGGCTATTTTTCATAATATCTCTTTTAATTACATTTAAGATTTATTAGCAGGATATTAATTTAACATTCAAGAAAAGATTTTTGGACAACTATGGGTAAACATAATATTAATGACTACCAACAATCAGTATTTATGACTCAAACAAGTATTCATTGCACAACAAAAAGGTAGGCTGTTAAGAAGGTGGCTAGATGACATTTTGTCCCTTTCTGGCGCAGTGACCTTTTCGCAAAGATCATGTCTGCCCTTAAATAAAACGTGATAAGATTTAATTAAGTGAGTTAAGAATGAATTCTTCTGTTTTAGACATTGCGTTTTTAAGACTGTAATAAAAACATTAGACATAAATGACGTATATACTTTCAGGTGTAAGTAACAGGATGTCATATATCAAAGCGTAACGGGCATGTGTTTTATTTCTAATAATTACAACTGTATCTAAACTGATCTGTGTCAAACTTAGGAAAATGATTAAAAAAATTAACAAAATTGTTTCGAAGGACAACCAATCCTAAAAATCTAGAAACAATTTGTTAATTTTTTAAAAATAAATTCTAAGATCGCATGATATCACCCGTGTCGATGTGGGTCACTCCTCTTGTATCCAAATATGTAAATTCCGTCAACTACAGGAAACGCAGCTAACCTGTTTGGATTCCTTAAATAGCCACAGGTTAACTTAGATTTTTTTAAAACTATTTTGTTATTGATGACATTTATAGGATTTTAATTCGATTTTACATGATCAGAAAATTTGAAAAACTTATCAGAAAAAATGAATTCATCGTCGTAGGCGGTTAAAAAGTGTAAAATGGAATTAAACAGGCTTACCTTGACACGTTAAAGTATCTGGATCGCATCGCAAACCGAACTCCTCGTCGCAAATTTGGTCCGCCTTACATGCTTGACCATTTTGCCTTGCACAAACAAGACGACATGAACATGAGATATCTTTTACTTTTCTTTCACCTGGGCACGATTCTTCGTAACTTTTTCCCAAGTCACACAAACAAGAAGCACGGTTTAAGTCTAATTGTTTTTCTTCGCGCATTGAAGACGTATTTGTACGTTGAGTTGAGAGTGAAGATACTGTTGTTGTCGCATTAATCTCTTCCGTCGGAACTAGAGTTACATTAAAATCCACAGTCGTAGTAGATGTTATGGCATCCGTTGTGATATTTAAACTCGATTCAAAACTCGAGGTTTCATTAAGTAAAGTCTCATTCGCACTTAAACTAGAATTAAATAAAGCCGCTATAATGTCCATTCCCAAAAGGAAATAAGTAATACAAACCAATGGTGATCGCATGGTTCTAATCTACTACTGTTACGAACAAAGACCCATGAGAACGATCCGTCTGCTTCGGCTCATCCACCGTGTCTGTCTGTTGTCGATCCTGCGTTTCGCCCCAGGGTCTTGGCTCTAAACTTCCTAAGCCAGTTTGACAAGCAACAGGTTGCAGCTAACCCAGTTTCTTTCCAATCCCCCTTCCTTCCCTCCTCATTAAGTCTTGGTCTTAAAACCACCAAACTTTGGTCATCTTTGTTTAATGCTTACGGTCAGTAGGACAATGGATAGTTTTAACATAAAATAAAGACGGAAGTTAAGAATTCACTTAAAAAATACATAACTTGTAATAAGAACCTAAATTTTAAAAAATTTATATAATTAAAATCTTACTCTTTATTCCTTAATAACTCGTAAAGATAAAATCAACATTATAGACTTATATCGTTTTTGTATTGAGGAGAATAACGATAATAACATCAATGATGACATTAAGCAAAATTTAATATTTTCAAATAGATCATTGAATTTTCTCAAACAGGTCAAATAAACTAGAATGAAAATATACAATTATCTAATCGATCCGATATTCACTCTTGAGCAGAAGAGTGGCCTTAAGGGACATTTAGCTGCATTCCTAAACTGCCATCTGGTAGGGTCCATTTTATGAATGGAAAAGTAAAAGATATTAAAAACAATGATGACATTTATTTACAAAGTATTATATAAGCAGAAGAAATTTAAACCATGTTTCGACAATAACCACAGATTTATAGTATCCTAATCTATACCATAAGTCTTTCTTAGATCTCATTGAAGAAAATGATAAACTCATTTATTTTTATCTCCTTTTTATGTCTGAAGTCGATAAAACGCTTATTTTACACTCTTCTTAGTTATAAACAACATAATTTGTAGGTCGCCATACTACAGCATCGATGTTATTTTAGAAGAGGCCTACACTATTAAATTTTAATATTTAAATTTAAAAACAAGTAAATCTTTTTAAAATAATATAAATAAATAAATCCATCATCTATTTTTATATTGCAACTTTTGTTCGGAATTTTTTAACGTACAATATATTAACTTGTTAAAATGAATAAAATAAAAAGTTAGTACTTCATTTTATATCAACGAACATTTTAATATTAAATATTATTAAAGTTGTTTCACATAAATCCAAGTGTTGAAAACTGACGTCATTAATAGACGATATTACGCATTCTTTCAATGGCACAGGGCGTATCCGTTTGCATATGCAAGTTATAAAAAATAATTTATCGATAAATATTGAGCAACTGTTCTATTTTCAGTTAAGAAATATTACTTTTCCATTAATGTTTATTATATTTAACGATATCTTAATCTAAAATTCGACCATTCCATGTTGATTTAAACATAATTACATCATCTTAAAGTCCAGTTTTGCGTAAAAATAAAAATGACACTTTCTTATAAACAAAATTCACGATGAAAATATAAAATAAAATAGATTAGGAGGAAATAAAAGTTGGCAATACATAAAATTGAATTCGAGCTCTTTTCCTGTTTACATTTTAGAATTTAAATTTTAAAGTTGCTTCAATCTCTGTTTTCAATAAGCTTATTTTATTCTGAATTGAAAATAATAAAATCTGTTTATTCCTTAAAAAGAAAAACGTTATTCGTTAGCAATATCTGAATTAAAGGACAGCGATTTTTATTCTGCATTGTATGAAACGAGAACTAAAAGTAGACATTTTTCGCATCGTTGATTGCTCGTTTATTCCGTTCGACCGTAATCGAATTTAATATCTTGTACAAACTTTGTTTTTAATACTAAAATAATTTTATTTATTCTTTTGTTTATACACGAAGAAGATTTAATCCGAGTTCAATTACAAAGCTTGACTTTTAAATCCGATAAAAAAAATTATAATAATAAAAAAAAGGAACAGCAAGAAGTACATTTTTAATCTGCTTTCGTTTATCGAACGTGTCCTTTTTTAAAAAAGAAAAGTTTCGTTGAATACTTTTTATTTATGAAAAAATAAATTATAGAAAGTTATATTTACAATTAATTGAATAAAAAGATGTTTCGAGTCTTGTTTAAAATGTCATCGCTTTAATTTTATTAATTCACTTAAGAGAAAAGTTTGATATTTTATTAATATAATTCTCGCTTCTTAAGAGTTCAGTCAATATTGACTTTCGTTATTATATTTTTTTCTATTCATAAATGCCTAACATATTCTTTATACAGAATCATAAACACTTTCAGAAAATAAAAATGGAAGTAAATTTTATTAAACACGTTTATCGCTCCACTAAACGTAGTTTAAATCACATGCAAATTATTCCCTTGCGTTTTATGATCCATCAAGTATATTTATGAATATATTTATGTACAAAATTACATTATATATGATAATAAAAATATATAATATTTGAAATTTTGTATCTATTTTGATTATGTAAGAAAACACAAAATATAAAGAAAATGAGAACGAAAACATTGAAATGCATCCTATTGAATATTTTCCTAGAAAAGTGATAAAATACACGAATAAAATTGTATTTATTGTGCAAGATAATTATCTTTTATGGAATAATTTATCAATCAAATTCTGGTGAAATTCTTTATGAAATTCGGAAACTTTACATAAATCATTACCACTTTTCGTGTTCCAAAATGGACCAGTTTCGTTAGAGAATTTGATAATAAATTTTTGACTTCGTATATTGCACAAAGCTTCGTTAGTAATCGACCTCGACATGTGTTATTGTTTCTTTTTTAAAGAAAAACAATAACTTATGTTAAGGTCTTCATTTTTAAATACCATTTATTATAATTTTACATTATTAATACTTGTATTTACGTCACTTAACTTACCTGCTTAATTAAACATTTATTTTTCCCACTCGTTAAAAATTTATTTATTTTTAATTTTAAATATACGAAGAATTAAAATTTTCTAAAATAATTCAAGAGTAAATAATAATATCTTCGATATTATATCAAGAAATAGCTTGGAACAATTTGCAATTAAACTGTAATTATTATATTAAGTTCAATAAATTACTGAAATATATATAATTAAAAATTTGGAAATGTTTTTTTTTCTTTAAAAAAGCAGATGGAAAATAGAAATGATTTCATAAATTTCTAAAACTGTTTATAAATAAAATAAAAAATAAATTTTACTTATCATTGATTTTGCCTTGTACCTAACGCTGCATACCCTGAACGTCCTTGCACCATAAAGCCATTTCCTTTTTCGTAATTACACACACTATAATAACAGATTCCAAAACTTAAGCTGTTCATACCTTCGAAATAAAATCGAAACCTTGTTTATTACTTCTAAAAATATTTTTATAAGATAAAGACAGTTACATTTCATATTTAATAAATAAAAAAAATGTTTTATATTTTAAATATTTTATTTTGTAACGTGGTAAAATTCATGTCAAAAACTTTTGTTGAATATTTTCCCTTCCATAAAATGATAATAAAATAAAAAAGTGGTTAAATTTACTTCTTTTTTCAGTTAATAACGCGTAGATTATCAGATATCTTATCATTTTAGACATTATAGTCTCCATTTTATAAATTTTTATTACCTGTAATATTATTTGGTGATTTTTGTTCTAGGTAATTTAACTTGTAGTAAAAGAAGTTACTTACTATCCGTTAATGCAAAAAATATATAAATAAACTACATTTCGTTATTTCTCCCTTTTTAATACGTTTAAATAGTTTATATGAATGAATGCCATTTTATATAAACTATTAAAATTCTGGCAAACATTTTAATTTCGAACTATTAAATTATTTTAAAATACACCTGTAAAATGTATTTAAAATTAGTTTTTAGTTAATGTGATGAAAATAAATTTTTTTTAACAGTTCGAAATATTTCAAATGATAGAATTGAAAGGTAATACGACAAAATTTATTTTTTAACCGAACCATTTAAAATATTATCCACCTTTTAATGGAACAAAAATCAGGGAAAAGGATTCATTGAAAAAAACTCGAAGTAATAAAATTGTTTAAAAATAAAATCTAGTTCAAATTCAATAAATTTACCTTAACCACAAAATCGAAAAAAATAAAATAGGAATAAAAAAAATCCAGTTAAGCAATCAGTACATAAAGATTTCCTTTAACAAAATGGATTTAAATAAGGTATCGGTGGCAAGTTATTTGTTTTTCGTTGTTCATCCTTTCGTGGCGACTCGTTCGTCCAGTTTACCAACTTCCTTCTTTCACCTCACATCTGACTAATCATCTAACAATTCGCAAAATTGCTTTTGCTTGTAACGGTTTCATCTAGCAACCAATTTCCTAGTGTCGATTAATCATCCGCGATAAAAGAAAAAAAAAATAATCAAAAAATAAATAAAATAAAACTGATTTAATTCATTGCTTCCTTTCTTATTTTTATTTAAGATGTTCCCGAGAAATTACCTTTGATATTTATGGATTCTCGTCTCATTTAGCTTAAATTCTGACAATAATGATAACCGAGCGACGAAAATATTTGAAAATATTAAATCAAATCGAAACAAGTCGTTAAATGTAATTAGTTTAAGCGATAAAATATTATAAATTAACTTCTTTCATGTATAACTTATATGATTAAATATGAAGAAATGTATTATGTACAATGATTAAATGTTACAATTGATTAATGGCAAAAGATAATTAAGCTTTTAAAATTTTACAACGGCATTTGATTCGAATAATTAACCAGCAAAGCAGAAATCTCTAAAGTCTCTACCAGGCTCATTTCACTTGCCAATCAACAAACAGAACGTAACCATAACAATAGTTCTACCTAATTTTAGATTAAACTATGTAACCGAATAATTAGTTGGATAGAAATATTATTTATGTATGTTTAAATACAATAGTAGCCTACTATGTGTAAATTAAATTGTTATATGTGAACTATATTTCATGCGCTTGTATGTAGATCTAAACGTATCATGTGTAGACTCTATCGCAATATTTTATAATTTTTTAAAGCTTAAGATAATATCTAAACAATAATAAAATCCGTTGATGAATTTTTATCTATTGTTAATAGT